TTCTGGACACACACCAAGCCACGGTGAGGCTCCATTCATGCTGCCACGGAAGGGCAGCTGCAGGTTGGAGCATCACTGGGTTTGACCTCTGCTCTGCCACCAAATGTCGGCAGTAACAGAAACACGAAGGAAGACGACCAAGGTAAATGCCATTTTCCTTCTTCTCCCTTCGGGAATTGCAGGTATTAAATCCTCTGTGAGTGACACACCATATTCTCTCATTTGCCTGAGAAAACTGCTTATTCCTTATGACCTGTTAGTTTTGACTCGTCACCATGCGAATTTCTGGGCTGTGACAAATGGCAGAGTGATCCATAGCAACCAACGTCTGACGCATTCTCTACTGAAAGCCAAGTTCCCAGAGCATTAACACAGCACAATGCCAACACAAGGCACTCTGCCCCTTGGCATGGACGCTTTACGGTGCAATTTCTAAGGCACGATCACGTACGAATTCTCAGCACAATCTGAGGCCGTTTTCCCACCTGTCTACCTGCCACACCTTGGACTGGCTTCATAGCAACCCACAGGATCTCTGTGGACTGCCCAGCATACGAACAGCCCCATGGGAGTCGGGCCAGGGCCTTGTTCGCCCAGCTAGACCGCTTCACCCTCAGGAGCGTATTTCTACAAAGTTTGCCAGCGTGAATGTCACTGCCCCCCGGGTGTGGCCGCCAGTCTGTTGGGAGCTACCAGTGCTCCCCATGTCCTGGAGGGGAGAGTTGTAGGAGTGCTCATCCCACATCTGCCCAGCCCCTGCCTAGCACTTAATTCTGCATCCAAATCTATCATGTTCCTACCCAGCCCAATCTCTGCCCCTTCCCCAAAGAGCTGAGGGGGGTGCAGAAGGGTCCCCCCCCTTTTCGGGCTGGGGGAGCTGCAGCAGATCTTTCCCTGTCCCTGTCTGGGCAGTACCACAGAGCAACCATCCTGTCCCCATTGCTCACGGGGGAGCCATCCGTGTGAGAACACAGCAAGAGCTGGCCACACTGCATGGCAGGGTGGAAGCCTAGAGGCAGGGGTAGGGAGCAGGGGAGGCGCAAGCCATCCCCTCTGCTGAGGCAGGATACGGCCCAGTGTCTTGTCACCATGCGGCCTGTACTGTTCTGGCCCCCTCCCCACAAGCAGATCGGGAGCCTGCCTAGACCTTAATGGCAGGGAGGGGCATTGAACCAAGCGTCTCCCCTACCAAGTGTTTCAGTCCAGCAGGTGTTTAGAGCAAACCAAGCACCAGGAGTGTGAAGGAGCAAGAGTCCAAAGCTGGTTTCTTCTCCCTCCCCGCTAACCAGAGACCAGGCCTCCAGCTGCATGTTCAGCACAAGGGGCTACGTTCCTATTCAGGCATCTGAATAAGTGCTGGTCACTCCCACAGCTTCACCAAGAACCTCTCAATTCTTCTCCCCCACACTGCTGCTTCCGCCTGAAAGCTCGGCCTGCACGGGTCCCCGTGTCCCTGCAGCCTGAGAAAGGGGAGAGGACCCTGCTGCAGCGCATGGGGGAGGAGGATCTCAGGAGGGGCAGAGATGGGTTAGGGTTGGGACACTGGATGTGGAGGCAGAATTAAGTGCTAGACCAGCGGCTTGCACCCATGTACCAATGGGAGCTGCATGTTTGGCTCTCGGCGTGTTGCGTGGCTGCGCGCACACACTGTACATGCTGCCTGCATGGCCTGCGGATGTCACATGGTTCGCAGCTGTGTGTTGATTGGCTTAGAGCACTGCCCTCTCCTCCCCTGCATCTCTCCAGGCCCCGTGTGAGGCACAAACCAGCAGCCCCTAATCCCGGCGTGGGCGAGAGACTGGCCCTCACTGTATTGCTGTCTAGTTCCTGGCGTAACCTGCCAGCGCACATGGGCACAGATCCACCCCCACCTGCCCCTTCCTGCCACTCAAAGCAGGCGAGCCAGCCTGGGAGAAACGGGAGCCCGGGCAGCTCTCTCCTCCCCACGTGCACTGGGGAGCCGCAGGGGCTCTCTGACTTCCCCAGCAACAGGCTAGAGCGTGTGCCACCCTCCACCCCAGCCCAGTAGGCTGCTCCCCTTTAACGGGAGGCGTGGAGGGCTGACTGTGAGGCGCTCATCCCCAGAAGCAAAGTGACCCTCAGCTCAGCGTGGCGCTCAGCACTCTGACCTGAGCCTGCAAAGCCGTTAAGATGCGCGTTTAATTTTAAGCATGCGCCCAGCCCTACAGAGGTTAAGGGGACAAAGCTAAGGGGCAGAATGCTCCGCTCCATGGTTGCAGGATTGTGCCCTACCACAGGCAGGGATCTGGACAGCATGGTACAGACCACATCTTTAGACAGCCAATCCCCTCTTGGCATTGCCCTTGGCTTTCCTTGACTTCTGAACGCTAGGGGGAACGCACGGCCGCAAAGGGGCAGCATTAAGGTGATCTGCACTACCTTAGGTTTCTCTTCTCCTGCTCTGCACATAGAACATCATATCGCCAGAGGGCTGGGTCAGACCCTCCCAATGTGAGCCAACAAGGAGGTGGCTAAAGAGGAGGATTCCCTCCTTCCTTCCCTCCCTCTCTCATTTATTTATAGACAGATATGCCGGGACTTTCCCAAACTGCGGTTTCCATTCTTCAAGGTTTGAGGCATTTATATGTCCCAGTGTGGCTACTGCTACTGTTACTAGTCTGGAAGCTGCCTGTCACATTTCTCCTGCGCATTCTCTCTTGCTCGCCCTCAAAAATGTGACTCTGACCATTCTGCTGCAACAGACGGGATGTAAATCAAGCTGAAATCTTTCCAAGGCACAATCTTACAAAGCCTGACCTATAAGAAAAGTGAAACGTGTTCTCAGAAATAAAGATACAAATCCTTACATTTTAAAAAAGTGTCTGTCTTTGTGATGTGTGTGTCCCCCACTCCTAACAATTACCGTGCAATTCTTTTGAGAAGTTATGGGCAAACAGTCAAGATTTGCATGAGACTGAAGCCATTTTAAGTACAGTATAAACCTAAGCAGCATATTTTATGGTTGCATATACTAGTCTGCAACGATTTGTTCAGCATGCCCTGAAAGGGGCTACGTTCCTATTCAGGCATCTGAATAAGTGCTGGTCACTCCCACAGCTTCACCAAGAACCTCTCAATTCTTCTCCCCCACACTGCTGCTTCCGCCTGAAAGCTCGGCCTGCACGGGTCCCCGTGTCCCTGCAGCCTGAGAAAGGGGAGAGGACCCTGCTGCAGCGCATGGGGGAGGAGGATCTCAGGAGGGGCAGAGATGGGTTAGGGTTGGGACACTGGATGTGGAGGCAGAATTAAGTGCTAGACCAGCGGCTTGCACCCATGTACCAATGGGAGCTGCATGTTTGGCTCTCGGCGTGTTGCGTGGCTGCGCGCACACACTGTACATGCTGCCTGCATGGCCTGCGGATGTCACATGGTTCGCAGCTGTGTGTTGATTGGCTTAGAGCACTGCCCC